GAACAACAACAAAAACCAAGTGATTTACCTTTCTCATGGAAATTTTTCTGAGCTGCTTTTAGGTGGAAAGGGGGAGGTCAGAGAGCACCTCCTATATTTGTTGTTTCTCAAGTAACTTCAGCTCAAAATAATATACCAAAGTGGCATATTTGGGGGTGGTATGTTCTGAACCCCTGCAAACTGAAATCTGCTGTAGAGGAGGCAAAATTTTACCACTACCCATTTTGAGTTTTTGGCTGGGCCTGATAATTAACACAAGACAGATTAACAGGAGAAAAGCATAGAAGTTTATTTACTCTGAGTTTTATTTGCCATTGGAGCCCTCATAAGGAAATGAAGACTCACAGAAGCAGTTAGAGTTGACTGCTTATAGACTGAATTGGACAGAGTAGTAAATCATGAAAATGTCACAAGACAGAAGGGCTATGGCTAGGACAGTTAATGGTGGAAAAATAACTAGGAAGATAAGGGTTAGTTTAAAAAAGGTTTCTTTGTGCAGATTTCTCTTGGCTTCAACTCCCCATCCTCAGTGAAAAGAATGTGATTTTCCTCCTGGTATAGGGAAAACATCTTCCATATGGGGGTTCTGTCTCCTGTTTTTAGGAAAGAAACAGAGGTCAGAGCACACTTCTTGCACCTGCCATTTTTCAAGTGCCTTTAGCTCAAAATAATCCCTGTGCCAAATGGCATAATTTAGGGGTGGCATATTCTACCACTGATGGGATTTGGGACATGCTACCCCAAAATACGGCACCTTGGCATATCAAATATTTTAATCTTGAGAAAGGGACATAAGCAGGAAGGTTACTCTAACCTTCCCCCCAAAGCCTTCTCCCTTGAAACAGGTCATAAAACTTCTTGTGCCTTCTCTATATGACTAGAGGGATAGATGAGAAGGAAAGGAGTATCTTTATCTCTAAAGGCAAAGGGACCTACAGAAGAATCCTAACAAACAGGCTTATTAGACTTAACCGCATACTCCTTAACCTACTGCATTTTACAGGAGACGGGAGTGCCCACACTTCATCACACCTACCATAAAAATACTCAGGTCAAACTGTTTCTTTGGATCTTCATTTCCTTATGAAGTTTCTGCATCACATAAAACTTATATTAAGTAAATTTGTGTGCTCTTCCACTGTTGTTCTGTCTTTGTTGGTTTAATTTTCACACCCAGCCAGGGACCCTAAGAGGACTGAGGAAAACTTTTTCCTCTCCTATGCCACCCTTCATTGTACAGGACAAGGAATAGTGTTAAGGTTAAAAGGGGGAAGTTTTTATCCAATGAGCACGTCGTTGAGGGAATGACTTTATCTCAGAATGAAGTTAAGGAAAGAAGCTCAAAAGCCCCCTGCTTCTGAATTTGGTCCAGTGCTATTGGTCACTTAAGATGAAAGGCAATCATTTCATTCATATGTGGAGTTTAAGAAAACAAAAGAACGAAGAAAGAAAAGAGAGCGAGATAAACCTAACACAGACTCTTAAGAGAAGAAACTGAAGGTGACCAGAAGGGGTGGGGCTGGGTGAAGGAGGTAAAGGGGATTAAGAGGGCGCTCACCTTGATGGGCACCGAGCAGTGTATGCAAGTGGTGAACCGCTATACTGTACGCCTGAAACGAATATAACACTGTAGGTTAAACTGCACTGGAATTAAAACTTAAGCATTAAAAAAAAAAGAAGAAGAAGATGAAAGGCAATCAGGCACATGGCCTGCCCAACCCACAAACCAGAGATCCAGTCTCATCTTGAGGGTATTTGAAGCCTCGGGGGTGCCTGCAGTCAGAGACTGAACAGAAACTGTCTTCCCGGAACATATAATTTAGTCCATTGCTTTTACATTAAAAACAAACACATGCGCATACAAAACATTATATTTTTCTTTTACCTGCTTATTTCCTGTGGCAAATGTTAAGCTGCGTTCATGTGCTCTTCCCCCCCCGACCCCCCAGCACTAAATAATGAAACTTCAGGGCTCAATCTGGAAACTGGAGATCTTATTATTTCTAGTGAGGGAAACTCAGAGATATTAGTAGGAGAAAAATACTCCCTTTTCCCCACAGCAGCAGCAAAGCAGAGGTTCTTCTGCATTATCAATTTACTTCTGATAGAGTAGTGTATTGAGAACCGTCACAGAAGCACTCTATCGTCCAATGTGGAGACTAGGTGAAATCAAACGATTATGGATCTGAATTCTGTTATTAAAGGTGACTTCTAAGTGTTGGGGAGCAAGAATTTCCTGTCCCCTTCAAAGTCCTTCTACCTAGACTAAGAATCAAATTGACATGAGACAGATTAACAGGAGAAAATAAAATTTAATTCTGTACGTACAGGGAATCCACACAGACATGGAAATTCCAAAGACAGTTAAAATGAACTAAGGAGAAGGAGTAAGCCCTGGGACTTCAAAGGGAAGGAACGCAATTCACAGGAAGCTGAAAACGAGTACCTGTTTGGTAAACACGTGTGCTGGGCCACTCAGAAACAATGGGACACAGAGGACTTTGATCCAACAGGCCTTGCTAGGCTCCTCCCTGCCTACCAGACCTAGTTCATGGTAAATGTAGTTAGCCATGGTGATAGCTCTCTTTCTGGAGCAGGTCCTCTATCTCAGTTCTTCTCAGGCAGACGTGGGGGAGGGAGAGAGCTTTTCCTGAATCTGCTGGGTTTTGATTGCTCTTTAAACTCAAAATAATCTTCATGACTGCCCTTGGTATCAGCAAATAACAACTTGTTCTATTCTGAGGATAGCCAGAAGAAGACTCTTAGAATTTTCTTATTCTCTATATTATAAAGGTAAAATATATCCCATGACTGTTGGATTCTATATGAATATACATTTGCTCCCCCAGAAGGTGTTACTTTGGCATGTGGATTATTTTAGGCTGATTATTTTTAAGAAACAGAAGACTCAAAGAAGTTTTTCTTTTTGCCTCCTTCCTGACAGTTTAAAAGAACTCGGATAGAGGATCTGCTCTAGGAAGGGAAAGAGCACCATAGATAACTACTGTACAATATGACCTAGGTGTGGTAGACAGGGAGGAACCCAGCAAAGTCTGTTTGCTGAAACTCCTTTCTATACCCCGTTGTTTCTGAGTGGCCCAGCCAACATCTGTTTACCAAACGTTTACTCATTTTCTCTTCTTGTAATGGTCTTCCTTCCCTTTGTACTCCCAGATCCCGATCGATCTCTTTCTCAGCTATGGATAGCATATAAACTTCAATTGCCTGACTGCCTGGGGGGCCTCATATTCTTTTAGGATTTTCTCCTGTTAATTGGTCTCATGTCGATTTAATTCTTAGATCAGCCAAAAAAAAAAAAAAAAAGCTTGAGGGGTAGAGCAAAGTTTTTCCTCCCCGACAACAGCTTGAGAATCTTTTTCTTACCTAAATGCATGCCATGGCCAAGAATGCATGTATTAAAAAAGAACACCGCAAAGAAATGTGACACCTATATGGGCTGCTTTGGGCTGCCATCCAGACCCCCGTATGGTAGTTTTCTCTTCCAATGGCAAAGAGCTCAGTGGAGGAGTTTGAGGAATTTGATTGCCTGATGAGAAAACTCCTCAGTGCTTTAAAATGTGTCCCAAGCCTGATGAAACTAGAAATCCATTATAATTTCATTTCTTTGCTTTAGGATATTATGCAGGCCTTGTTACTTGTCTGGGACAAGCCATAATTTCTCTGAGACTCTGTTTCTTTATCTGTGAAATGAAGAAAGTAACATCTATTTCACAGAGTTGGGATTAAATGAGAGAGTGTATGTAGAATTTTTAAATACTGAGTCGTGCTCTCTACATGTTAGTCAGGATTACCTGACTAACCACAGGAACAGGTGACAGGTGTTCACATCAGTTATACCTTTGCAAGGACATCTTAAGTCTCCCTAGAGCAGGAGATTGTGCTGCCAATGGGGACTCTTGAAGATATAAAGATAAGTTTCTAGGTTGTTTAGTGTTCAGGAAATCCCCTCAAAATAACTTTTATTTTGCCTTCAGCAGGAAGATAATCATTCATATTGACACCATAAAGTGAGTTTTAAGCTTGTTGTTGGGCCTGATTGTGTTCACAGGTTTGAGTTTTTATGAGGTTTGGATGCAACGCTTTTTCAATAGAATGAGCATATGATTAAAAGTTTTATAACTATTCATACTTTTAAGCATTATTACCTTACATGACTTGTTTTATGACATGCAATTTTCTGAGCAATACTTCAAAGCATATGAAATAACTAAAAAGCAGAGTATGTTCAATTTCCCTGTAGAGAATAGAAAAAATGAAACTTTTAGATGAAACTACTTTATTGAAGAAAATATGTTAGCAATCAGTAATCAACGAATAACTTGTTTGCTTTGAAACTTTATTATAGCTTTTAATCTGACTGATAAGCAAGTCGACTATTTAGAAACTACTCACCATTGTAAAGGAGAAATTAACGTTTCCCGTGTTATGGTCCTTGACTTAGAAGCGTTTCGTCCACAGGACCTAATTGGCCATTGATGGCCAAGGTGGAAAAGCTAAGGAAAGGCGGAAGGCTGTACCCTGCAGGTTGGTGCTTTGGGTAAACGTAAATTGACTTTTTGGTTCCTTCAACTACTACTGTAATGCAACTAACGCGCTTAGCACAGTGTCAGGCGCTAAATAAATGTTAGCTATGGGATTGGAGTTATAGTAACTCTTAACTGAAACCTAGTTCATGGGAAGGCATGCTTTTATTTCGAAGGGGCCTGTTAAAATATAAATCCCAAGCTTGCGAAAACACTGTAAAAATTGCTCTGACAAAAATGACACCAATTTAAAAGAAAAAGAAAAACGTCCGTGATCGGTAAGATTACAGAAAAGTACGGAAAGGTGAATAAGGGGGAAAGATTATCATAACAATCTACCCGAGTAAATGGGATTGAATTCTAGCCAATGAGATCACATTCTGGAGGTTCCTACCCCTCCTGGCCCAATCAAGACAAGGCTATGTCTATAAATAAGACTGCCTAGGGCTCCTTGAGCGAGACCAGCAAGACATCATGGCTCGCACGAAGCAGACCGCCCGCAAGTCGACCGGTGGCAAGGCCCCGCGCAAGCAGCTGGCCACCAAGGCGGCCCGCAAGAGCGCGCCGGCCACGGGCGGCGTGAAGAAGCCGCACCGCTACCGGCCGGGCACCGTGGCCCTGCGCGAGATCCGGCGCTACCAGAAGTCCACCGAGCTGCTGATCCGCAAGCTGCCGTTCCAGCGGCTGGTGCGCGAGATCGCGCAGGACTTCAAGACGGACCTGCGCTTCCAGAGCTCGGCCGTGATGGCGCTGCAGGAGGCGAGCGAGGCCTACCTGGTGGGGCTGTTCGAGGACACGAACCTGTGCGCCATCCACGCCAAGCGCGTCACCATCATGCCCAAGGACATCCAGCTGGCTCGCCGCATTCGCGGGGAGCGGGCTTAAGGCCGAGTGTTTTTATATGGACCATCTAAAGGCTCTTTTCAGAGCCACCCACGTTTTCACGGAGAGCAGCTGTACCGTTTTCCGCCGGGCGCGGGTCTACGGTCGTTCACCTGTGCACCAGATAGAGGGATCGGGGGAACTCGCACGTGTTGCGTGACGAGATAATAGAATCAGTCGGCCCTAAAGTCGGCTGGCGCGCTAGGGGGAACAGCTGAGACGGTTTTATAGGTCGTTTTTGCCAAACCTGCTTTTCACATGCTGAGTTGCTAAAAGTCTGGAGCGTCAACCTAGCTTCTGAGGAAAACTTTGCAAGAGGGAGGGCCCTGCTCTACCAGTCGTTTGCAACGTTACAGGCTGCTAGTACAAAACGTTGGCACGAACCCAGATACAGAAATTAAGTGGGAAGGCCGTCATGTGGGTTTGTGATAACGGCTGGGATGGGAATCTGGGTTTATCAACCAGATTTTACAGTTAGAACTAAGCCGGATGTTAAGGCCCTGTTTTAAATACTGAAGCCTCTTCCTGGCTACTGTCTTCAGAGTTGTATGACAATGACCTAATTAATACCTTCCTCGTTGCATAATATAGGCGGCGCAAACAGGAATTTGAGGGAAACACCTGATTTCTTTTTGAGATGTGGGTTTAAAACCAGAAGCAAAACAAACTTCCACAAAGAGTAGGGAAATGGGGCAAAAATAAGAGGAAATTGTCTTTAGCTGTTCCTTCAGATCTCTTCGGTACGCAAGTCTACAATTGAGAAAATGAAAACCATCCCCAAACGCCCCAAACAGGTGAAACTATACTTTTACAGTATTGGTTAGCCTGAAATGGAACACTTTGATTGGCTAAGAAGATTTTTACTCTGCTAGCCACTAAGGAAGTGCGAGCTGAAGCTATTATTTATGTGGACTCCACCCCCTTATGACGACATCGTTGGAAATTAACCAATGAAAATGCAGTCCCTTGCGAGCCTTCATTTGCATACAGGCTCTATAAGTAGCGCGTAAGCAAGCCTTTTGGAAGTAGTCCGGATCGTTTCTGGAGTGTGGCGTTTCTTCTTGCAAAAATGCCTGATCCAGCAAAGTCGGCTCCTGCTCCCAAGAAGGGTTCCAAGAAGGCTGTTACGAAAGTACAGAAGAAGGACGGTAAGAAGCGCAAGCGCAGCCGTAAGGAGAGCTACTCTGTTTATGTGTATAAAGTGCTGAAGCAGGTTCATCCGGACACCGGCATCTCCTCCAAGGCCATGGGCATTATGAACTCCTTCGTCAACGACATCTTCGAGCGCATCGCCGGCGAGGCCTCCCGCCTGGCGCATTACAACAAGCGCTCGACCATCACGTCCCGGGAGATCCAGACGGCCGTGCGCCTGCTGCTGCCCGGCGAGCTGGCGAAGCACGCCGTGTCCGAGGGCACCAAGGCGGTCACCAAGTACACCAGCTCGAAGTAAGGGCGCGCAAAGGACGTAATAGGACAGCTACTTTACCCCAACGGCTCTTTTCAGAGCCACTTTATTTGTCACACTAAGCGGCTGTAAACACTTGCTAGATTTGGTTTTTGGTTAGGTGGGGTGGGCCTGTGCTGTCGGAAACATTTGGGTTTGGGGCCAAGTTAAGACCGTGATAGGGATTGCTCTGGCTGTTAAAATCTGGAACCTCCTATGGTGCGGTGGTGTCACCTAGTGGCACGACTCTTGGTAACAAAATATTCCTTAAAATGGTCTTTACCTAGTTCTGAGTCTGAGATGGAAGCTTAGATACAGTTTAAAGTTGTTTTTGGTGGGGGTTGCTGTTCTTCTCTGCCCTTAAATGTCAACACAAGGTTTTTCTTAAATAAGCGAACCAGAATGTTTTCCTTAGTGTACAAACGAAAATCTCTCCGTTCCCCACTCCCCACCGCCTTTTAATGTTCTATTCGTAAACGTTTCTAGGTGTCTGTCACGAACGATGCGCAATAAAGCCATATGGTTTAGTCTGTCGGCCTGACGTGTAAGTCTCAATCTGTCCTTGCTTAACTTCCTCCCTAGCCCAATCCTTAAACCAGGTAAAGATTTTTGCCTCCCACCCCTTAGGACGTTTAGTAATAGCTGGAGACAAAGTTTTCTCTTGGAGAGGGGTGCTAACTGGCATTTAGTGGATAAGGGCCACGGATGCTGATAAACATACCAAAATGCATAAGACAACCCCCACGGCCAAGAGTTCCATCTCTGTAACCTCAGTCCTTGTGGGGGCAGCTGCTAGACCCAGCGCCCAGACTTCCCTTCCGTGAGGATTTGGATTTAATTCTCATTTGGGTCCAAACCTTCCCTCCACCCCACCACCTAGTCAATGTTATTTTGCTTTTGGTGAAAAGCTGAGCAGAACGCAGATTTACTGTGATTACTTACATGCCACAGGAAAATTATCTTCTCCAGGGCAAGGAACTTGTCTTCTCTAACAGTTTCCTGGTTATAAGAACCACCTTGGTGCTTGCCAAACACATTCCCAGGTGCCTCTCCTGGAGCTTCCTGATAAAGTCAGGTGATTTTTAGTGTTCTCAGGTGTATTAAAGTTGGGGGCGCATGATGTGCAAATGGCCACAGCTAACATACGGGATGAATTTCTAAAGACCCCTTAGTTCAAACTTGCATAACTCAAGACTAATCCCGACAGAGGCTGGTGAATGTTTTACCAAACCAAAGGTACCCTTAAGGTAAAAGAAAAAATCTTAGTTTCCAGTTCATTTATCAAGCTTTGAAATTAATCTGTTCTTGATAAATGTTAAGGAATTTGCTTGACAAGTTTGTGCTTAAAATGAATTTTATTTATAATGTAAGAGTTCAAATTTACATCCAATTAAAGTTAATAAAATGGGCTATGATTTCTTTCACTGGAAAATGAAGATTTTTCTGAGTCATTTTCCCTGGCGAGAGGAATGACCCACTGAGAATTTTATTTTCCCAGTGAAAGAAAAGAAATTATTATGCAGCACATTTTATAGTTGGAAAAGTTAGTAAGTGAAAAGGCCAGGGTGTCTGTCTTCTCCGTCAAGTTATCAGACCATCAGAGATATCATCTGGTCTCCTCCCCTAAGATCCTGAAGGCTCTCTTCTCCCTGAGGACTAGCGAGTGACCCTTATTTCTCATGGTCTTTGGAGGTTGTTAAAGCATTGTCAACTGGCTCACCTAATCGAAAGCTAGCATTAATTACTCATGACTGAAGGATTAAGCCCCAACACCTTATCCTGAAACTAAAGGCCTTCTGCCGTCTCACCAAAACTTCCCTTCAATTGCTTGTTTTCCTCAGATCTCTAGCAGAGCCAAAATGCAGTACCCACTGTCTTATAATGCCTCTTAAGTTTCTAGTCCTTTGTGCTTTTGTTAGGTGGCCCTTCTAAACCATAGTACCTTCTGTTGCTCTTGCAACTACTCAAAGCCTGTCAACCTGCCCGTTCTTTAAACTGTTGCTCAAATCTTGCTCCTTGGAGCCTTCCCATCCCATTCTAGGTCACAGTAGTCTTTCTCCTTTTAACTCGTAAGGCTTTCTTTGTTCCTTGCACAATGAATCTGCAATTAACTGTAGCTTTGTGAACTGGGTAGTCTTTTTCCTTAATTTCTTTTTCATTGTTTTTACATGTTCTTGTTTGTCTTCTAATGGAAGACAGGGTTTACTTTCTTAAAAAAAAATACTTATTAGAAACTTCCACAAAGGCTGTTCTAGAGTCCATTATAAAATAGCATCTCAGGGGCACCTGGGTGGCTCAGTTGGTTAAGCAACTGACTCTTGGCTTCAGCTCAGGTCATGATCTCAGGGTCGTGAGATCAAGCCCTGAGTTGGGCTCCGTGGTCAGCTGCTGAGTCCGCTTGAGATTCTCTCACTCTCCTCCCTCTTCCTCTGCCCCTCTGCCCTCTCGTGCTCTCTCTCAAATAAATAAAATCTTAAAAAAAAAAAAAAATAGCATCTTGGTGAAAGTTTGTTGACTGATTGCCCAGACCAGAGAATGCTAGAAAATTGGTCTGAAGGTGGTAAGTTCATGTACTCCAATAAGCTTTTTTTCCTCCACTTTTCCCTAAATTTTCCTGCTCCTTTTAATCTGAAACACTCATTTATAATAATTACTGACCCACTTAAAACAACTGTTGGAGATTAAAAACTCCTAAGAGGGGCAGATGGAGTACTGCACTTGACTGCTTCCCTTCATCCAATTTATCTATGTGGCCAAAATGATGGGATTCTACTGGAGCTTTTTCAGCCTAGTTTGGATGCTGCTTTTCCAGTGTTGCAAGCAAGGGTGAGGAGGGAGATGCATTCCAGAAGATGAAAAATGTTTGTGGTATGAAGATAAGGAGCTTTATATATCAGATCCAGTGAGCATTGTAAATGGGCTTGGTCTGGGTCAGGTCAAATGTCATTAAGATTAGTTAGTCATTATTTCAAGGACTGGAGAATGGATTGTGGTATCTATATACACTTACAAACATGACAGTTTAATCTTGTCCTAATTTTTAGACAAATGCCTCATTTTAAAACGGGGTGCATTTCCTAAAAGTGATCTAAGAGTCAAAACACTTAAATTCAGGGGCACTTGGGTGCCTCAGTCGTTAAGTGTCTGCCTTCAGCTCAGGTCATGATCCCAGGGTTCTGGGATCGAGCCCCACATCGGGCTCTCTGCTCAGTGGGAAGCCTGCTTCTCTCTCTCCCACTCCCCCTGCTTGTGTTTCCTCTCTCGCTGTCTCTCTCTCTCTGTCAAATAAATAAATAAAAATCTTAAAAAAAAAAACACTTAAATTCTGATGACTATAATTCAAGCACAGGACAACAGTTGGGAAATGTTATACGATCTCTTTGAGGGGCATAAAGTAGGAGTTATGAAAGTATGTCAATCTTGAGGAAGGAACAAGACTGTTTTGGAGAGTTACCAGATAGTGATTTTTTCCCTACATTTTATAACTTATAGCTGAGCCATCATATGATTTGGCAAAAATAGAAAACTTGATAAAAAAATTCTAGATCCCATACTGCCA